TCCCCACAATCACTCAGTAGTGAGAAATTGAGACGATAATCTAGCATGGCAATGGGCCATGTTTCGAGTGACAAACTCTGTACTTTTTGTGATTTTGAGTTTACTCATGGCAGTGAAGTTTGCATCTTACGAAGTCTTACATGGAACCGTATGGTTACATTATAACAGTAATCCGTTGTCAAAATGACGCTACGCAATTCATTCAACGTAATATTTTGTTGTTAAAATATTTTTTTCTTATTGTATTTGTTAATTTTTACTATTAGCTATGTTATTATCCTTTGTTAATATAAAAGCTTGTTATGTATTCAATTACGTAAAAATAGACATTTAAGTAAAACTAAACTAAGGTGTCACGTAATTTAGGGCATGGTCTCTTTTACGAACCTGCATAAATAGGAACTTATAAGAATTCGTTGCGACATTGCCGTTATTGTACTGCTGTAAATTATCAGTTTTATTAATAATGACAGATGTCAGTGGTGGGACAGAAAAATCATTTTATACATTCTGCTATATTACATCTTCATTGATGTCAGATAATTAACGTAAAAGTGATTAGACTATTGCAATATTATCCATTTTTTTGTTCCGCATAAATTTAGTGATAAATAACAATATACCGTTGTCATAGAAACGAAATTCCGATTCGCAATTCATTTCACTTATTTCATTTTATATATTTTATTTTTAACCAAATATTAAAATAAATAAGTGATTTTTTTAATACTTAGAATATATTGTATACAATCTTTTTAAAGAAATTTTTAGCAGAAAATAGGAAAGATTTATCTTAACATGAAAAATTAAGTCTTTTGCAAAACTGCCCGAATATGATCTTTTAAGCGTCCTTGCGACGTTGCCGCTTTTACTAACCACCAGGTTCTTATTTATCGGTATCTTGAATTGTGAAACAAAAAAATCCTATATTTCCGTCACGTATTTTATCTGTTTGATTATTATCAGGCAATTTACGAGAATTTTGTAGTACTGCCCCTAAATCTCTCTGTAATTTGTTTAGAAAATGTACAGTCATGGAATCTGTCGGTGTTCCATTTTTAAAGCTTCAGTTGTTTGAACCATTTTATATGCATTAAGACGCGGAATAATGTTGGAATGTAAGCACAATTTATATATCAGGTTCATAGCGAAGAAATATTAATTTACCTGGCAACACTACCACTGTCAATTTCTATCTTAAAATGGCAGACATAAAGGGCAGACGCATTCTGTTTTGTAATTTGTACATAATTGTAATATACATTATTAATATCCTTTTATTTAACTAACAACGAATAATAACCAAAGCTGCTTTTATGTCTGTACGGTTAATTACTCAACAAAGCAATGTATAATGTTACACCGCGTATTTCCTCGACTGTACCAGATAGCGCAAGCGTTCAACGCAGTGATATACGCGTTCAATGTGGAGTGTGCCAGCCCCGCGGCGGCGGAGGCGCGGCGAGCGGCCGTCAGCCTGCGCCACCACAACGTCATCTACCGCCTCGTGGACGACATCAAGCAAGAGATCAGCTCAAGGATACCTAAACGGCAGCAGGAGGAGGTTGTTGGTAAGTTTTTTAATACAGAGATACAGGTCAGGTCACATTTTAACAGTGGTAGGGCTCGCCCGGTGTAATACCACTACTACACAAGACAGGCGTGAAGTGGAAGCAATTCCGCCTACAGTCTGGTGAGTGTGGTGCCGGAGGCCCAACATAATTCTCTTTTTCTTATAACTAAAGTATGGGAAGGAAACGAGGATTTGACGCTAGAGGACACTCATACTGTGCCAGTTGATTGACATTCCAGTACAAAGCAACTGTACTGGCCAAGTAAGAATACATTATGTTTACTTATTGCATTGGCGGAGCGACCCAAAGTTCGTTAGCGCGGATTTAAAAAAGTCATTTAACACTCCGGAGTGCATCTACCTTCTAGTAGCTATCTTTCAGTCAAAGTCCCGTCTAAATCTATCCACACGTTCCAGAGATAGCGCTCCGGTCGATATTTTAACAGCGCGGAATTTAAAAAAGTAGCCTATAATATGCCCGTTCATGTCAGCTACCCTTCAGTGAAAGTCCTGTTGGAATAGGCCCAGAAATCTGGAATATTTCTTTTGATATCAGACATTCCAATTTTATTATATCTACTAGTTTTTCCCGTGCGGCTTCATCCGCATAAAATTATGAAAATTTTATTTTATTGCTCACATTTGTCAAATAATGAATAGCAAATGTCAAAATTATATTACATGACAAACCTTGGCAATCTTGCTTCTTTGATGTTGGCAGAAACTTATGGTCTCTTTCCCACATTAGTGTTTTTATCCAAAATATTTACCCCCTATGTTTAATGTCGTAAAAATATATAGCCTAAAGCATGACGTAAGTGTAGACTTTTCATTAAAGAAAGAATTATTCAAAAATATGCTGTAATTGCTGACATCTTAGGCAACAAAGAAGTGTGTGGGAAATGTCCTCTTTATGTGCG